ATCAAAGTGGAATTAAATTCACTTGCAAAACGTAAAGTTTTTAGACCGGTAGTCCATACACCAAATGACGTAAAACCAATGGGATATAAATGGGTATTTATGTGAAAATGAAATAAGAAAGATGAGATTATGAGATATAAAGCACGGCTTATCGCACAAAGTTTTACCAAAAAACCTGGTATTGATTATGAAGAGACATATTCTCTTGTGGTGGATGCAATTACATTTTGATATTTAATTAATCTGACAATACATGAAAAGCTTGAAATGCGTTTGATGGATGTAGTTATAGCCTATTTATATGGCTCACTTGATAATGATATCTATATGAAGATCCCTGGAGATTTAAGTTACTTGAAGCACAAAATTTGAATTCTCAAAAGATTTATTTGATCAAATTAAATAAATCTTTATATAGATTAAAACAATCCGAACGCATGTGGTATAATCGACTTAGTGAATATTTGTTGAGAGAAGGCTATAAAAATAATCATATATGCTTATGTGTTTTTATAAAAAGATTCAGATCTGAATTTGTGATAATTGATGTTTATGTTGATGATCTAAACATTATTGGAACTCCTGAAGAGTTATCAAAAGCCGTGGATTACTTAAAAAAAGAATTTGAGATGAAAAACCTTAGGAAAATAAAGTTTTGTTTAGGACTTCAGATTGAACACTTGACAAATAGAATTTTTGTCCATCAATCTAATTACATAGCAAATGTGTTAAAATGATTTAATATGGACAAAGCACATTCATTGAGTTCATCAATGGTTGTAAGATCATTAGATGTGAAAAAAGATCCTTTCCGACCTCGTGAGGATAATGAAGAACTTTTTGATCTTGAAGTACCATATTTTAGTGCAATTGGAGTACTAATCTATCTTGCTAGCAATATACAAACTGATATATCGTTTACTGTGAATTTATTAGCAAGATATAGTTCTTTTCCAACTCAAAGACATTATAATAGAATTAAACATATGTTTCGATATCTCCAACTAACAATGGATATGAGCTTATACTATTTAAATGCATCAAAATCAGATTTAATTTATTATGCAGATGTAGGATATTTATCATATCCACACAAAGCTCGATCACAGACAAGTTCTATATTCACATATGGAGGTATAACTATTTCATGACGTTTTGTAAAATAAACTATAGTTGCTACTTCTTCTAACCATGCAGAAATTTTAACAATTTATGAGGCAAGTCTTGAATGTGTCTGGTTAATATCATTAACTCAACATATTCGAGAAACGTGTGGTTTGCCAACCAAGAAAGAAATTTCAATAACATTTTATGAGAATAATACTGTTTGCATAGCACAGTTAAAGGAAGGATACATTAACGGCGATTGAACAAAATATATTTCGTCAAAATTCTTTTTCACTCATGATCTCTAAGAAAATGGTGATATTAGTGTTCAACAAATTCGTTTAAGTGACAATCTAACATATTTGTTTACTAAAGCCCTTCCTATTACAACATTCGAAAAGTTGGTACAAAAGATTGAGATGCGCCATTTTAAAAATCTTAAATAAAGTAATTTTCAGGGAGAGTAAAATACGCACTATATTCTTTTTTCTTTTATCAAGTTTTTTCTTATTGGGTTTTTCTTGATAAGGTTTTTAATGAAGCAGTATTTCATAGACATATTCTTAAAAAGAATTATGTAATCTTTTTCCTCCACTTGGATTTTTTTCCCATGAGGTTTTTTTCTTGTAAAATTTTAATGAGCCATATTCTTAATATAATGGATATTCAAAAAAGAGTATTATGAATATTTTGTGAATATCCATTCATGTTATCTATATCTAGATTTGATGTAAATCAGATTAGATTATGATATAATCTATCTAATTTTTAAGTGTTATTCTCATATTGTAAAGAGATTTTTTACCTATAAATAAGCTCCATTTAGTTCATTTGTATACACACTTCAATAAAATTTTTTCTCTCCCTTAAATATTTTTTTTTCTATTTAAATATTGTTTTAAGTTATTTTTATTTGTTCTTATAAAGTTATTTTTTTATAACTAGAATTTAAATATCCCATTTATTAATCAAGTTTGAATTCAAGTGTTTTAAAATTATCTAACACCCAACTCGTTGAGATCCCTATTATTATATGTAAGATGAGATAAATTATACTATTCTATACCAAATGTTCTAGCTTCTTTCTCGAGGTTGCACGATTTACTTTGGTTTAGATCGGAAATGTTAAATCAAAATATATTAGACTTGTCTTTGTAATTTAAACTACGAGACAAGATTAGCAAAAGGTAATTGTTGCCGACAAAAGCGAAGACATCATTATCAAAAGCAGATGGAATTGTAGCTGCATTTCACAGCAGATGGCACACAAACTCAAACCTTCAACTTGAAGGTTGAAGGCAAAAGACACGTACACAACAGGAGACCCGAAAGCATAAATCTAATATTCAAGGTTCAAGGCAACACTTGAACCAAAAAGTAAAAGATTACACGCGGCCTTATTCATTGAATGCTAATAGCTTAAGGTAGCGGCCAAGTTTTTATTGCTTTTGCATAGCGAGGACCTTAGACCAAGCTGGCCTTGCTATGATGTCAGCTACCCAAGCGCTGACATGGGGGCGTGAATCAAACAGCCTCTTGACCGGGGTTCCCAACAAATATTGAATGTTGGGGAGGTGATGCAAATCTGCCAAGGTGAAGTAGTCACATGCCAAGTACTTTGACTGAGACAATCGACTCTCATAGACATCTAGAACTTTGGCAAGCTTCGCTTCGTTTTCCTCCACAACTGCACTGTCAGTAGCCGTGCCAAAAAATGGCTTCAAATACAGCTCCCAGACCAGCTTTGAAGATGCAGGATCAAACTGGTAGGCTTCTACCTCCTTCCACATTGTTAAGACTGCCATACTCTTATTAGAGCCGGGCAATAGCAGCTGGGTGCCCTTGTCGGTGTATTCATGGGCAATATATCCGGTGATTGCCCTTGATTCTGCATGTTAAAAGTTCAGAGCTTAGAAGGTTAGCTAAATAGTAGTAGTGGTATTATTTTCATGCCTTGCAAACAATTTAAGGGTACCGCTCATAAAACTTTACCAAAGAGCTTAAAGTCCCCTTCTTCAAAAGCTGGGACTTGACCAAATGGCTGCATCAACAGGATGAGAAATATTAGATTCACGGTATTCTCCGAAACGGGTTTATGGCAAATGGATTACTTAATAAAAGAAAATCTGCTAGCGGTAACCATTGCAATCAATTTTAGCCTCAATTATTTGGGTTCGTGCAATTCTGACTAAAATTGGGGTTTTCTATTTCATTGCTGCTTTTGCATTTTGTTTTTCCTCCACAAATAGCAACTAAGGGAAGATTGGTTTCTGGGAGAAGATTTCAGTGCCTGAAAAGAAATAGTTGAGCTGTTGAGGAAATCAATTGCCAAATGAGAAAGAAGGGTTAAAGTGAGGTGGGTTTCTCTACAGAGCAAGTTCCAGGAGCAAACCAGCAACTTATGAAACAGGTACTAATCCATGGTAGTGTAAAATATTTGTTAAGCTAAAACAGAAGGAGAGATCCGTTTTCCGTACTTACATTGAGGGAAAGGTAGTTTTCTGATTTATGTTCACCAGCTCCCATATTTACAGGAACAAACTGAAAGTGAACCTCTTTTTCGTAAAGGCATAAAAGAACCCTCTGAGCAGCTGTTGAGAGAACGCTTCCGTGTACTTTGATGACTGCCATAGTTGTCCGACGACTAAAACCGAACCAGGAACTGCAAAAGATAAGAAATGTTTGTGGGTTTTGGCAAAGGGGGTGTTTGATACATGAATATATATAAAAGTGGGGCGAGGAACCTTTCCATCATTCTAGAATGCTCCAATTTGGATCTAGTAGGTAGAATCATTAGATTATTCTCTTATCAGTGGATTAAAGGTTTCTGGTTGGAAGAAGTAATTGCGTAATTACTGACATTAAATCCTTATTTAATTCCATTAATTATTTTTACATGATTTCGGATTCTTGGAAATATGTTAAATCTGCACCACCAGAATGTTAACGTATGTTCCTATGTCACATCAATGCCTTAGTCAAGAGGACAGAAAATTGGAAACAAGCCCGAACTTCCTCGAAAACCAGCCCTGAAAATTTTCAACGTGAAGTCGGCGAAACCTTCAATTTTCAGCGTGGGCTGGGCTGGGTGGGTCTGATTTGTGGATTAGACTTGTTTCGGGAAATTGCCAACCATAGAAAAATTGCCCAAATTGCCTGAGTGGGGACCGGAGAGCAATCAATCAATATTTATAAAATCTAAATATCCAGTTGAGTGACAGCTTGGATTGTTCCTTGCCAAGTTCTTGGTAGTAGTTGTAGCATTTATTATATTGTGTGGACCTTTGAGAAAAAGGTAATTTTTTCTTATGTTGCTGCTTTCAGAAGAACCAATTACGTTCAGACAGCCATGATGTACGTTGGTTGATTACTGATTAATATAGTACTACTCCTTACCCCTCATTTTTAATCTATATCTTTTAAATACTTAAAACTCTTATTTTAATGTTTTTTAATTTTTAATTTTTTACATTCAAGATTTCTAAAGCATCAATCTTATAAGAAAAAAAAAATCAAAATTTGATATTAAATAAATTAAATAAAAAAATATTTTTTAAAAAAATTCCATCAAAATCAAAAGAAAAAGATACATACATGATAAGAAGTACATAATGTGGACACATTAAATCCTTCAGTATTGGTTTTGATTACATTGGGCCGACAAACCCCAACAAACGCCTTACTTTGGCATATTGAAAAAGCACATAATTTTTTAAATTAGACATATCATGGCGTAGAAGTAAGTTGATGTTTGATTAATTTATTTCTCCTTTAAAGAAAAAATCAGAAAGATTCCTTTAAACAATAGTAAAATGTGGAAAGCAGTCAGGCATGGTTTGTATGAACAGAAATGCAATCCATGTGCTGACCCTTGCACGCGAGCGTATCCTTTCTTTTGGTCCTATCTTTAGTTATTGTGGTGGGCACATCATCCTTTCTTAAATTTCCTTTCTTTTTCTTCTAGTGTTCTTCCTTTGAACTCATACTCGTTTAGATCAATGTTACTGCTAATATAGTTTTAAAATATAAAATCAATTTTAATTTTAACTGGATTAGCAAATATTTTGAATTTATTAGATTTCTTTACAGAAATTACTTATCAAAGTAAGGGGGGATAAGTCTTGTCAATTCATCACCCGAGTAAAAGTTTGGAAGGGTATTGACATTATGGATATTTGTAAATCCAGCAATCCGGCAATCTAAGAAGAAGAGAATTTCAAAATTTAGACAACAAAACCCTCTTGAAGAGGGATAAACCCAATAAACTAAGTTTGGGTTGCTACTTAGCTTTCGTTTTGTTAATAATTTTTCTCGTTTAACCCAAAAAAGTACTTGTTATGAACTTTAGACATAACTTGCAACTACATTTATACATACATTCAAATAAAAAAAACATACTCCATAAAATGAAGCAGGATAGATTCCAAGGAGAGTTAGCTGGAACAAAACGATCAAGTCTAGAGAGACAGCAAAAATATTGCATACTGTAGCTTTTACCTTGCCTGCCTGAATCTTATATCTTTTCAACCATGTCCACAACCTTAGCCCAAGTAGATCGAGCCAGCAGATTTCTGCACCAGCCACTGACACGGGCCCGCTCATCAAAGAGCCGTTTCACGGGGGTCTTCATGAGATAGTACAAATTAGGGAGGTGAGTGAGATCGGCAGAAGTGAACTTATCGCCGCCCAAGTAGTTAGAATCTTTAAGCCGCTCTTCGTACACGTCCAAGACCCTGGCCAGATTCGCTTCCTCTTCAGCTACCACTTGCTTGTCTGCTGACATGCCGTTTAGTGGCTTCTGCAAAAGCTCCGTCCTTAGCTTTGAAGCTGGTGGGTCGAACTGATGATCCTCCACATCAATCCAGGCTGCAACTATGCCTTGTTGCTTAGGCGCTTCGTAGACTTGTTCCTTTCCAGGTTTCGAGTAATGGTGGGATATGAAGCGCATTATAGCCCTTGATTCTGAGCCAAAAACGGAAACGAAAAGTATTTTGGAATTTATTGTTGTTTGATGAGAAACGATGCAAATGTAATTAACATTTAAGCTATGATACGGATTCTATTTCTTTCTTCCTTTAGATTTACCGAACAAAGTCAAGTCTTGATCATCCTGAAAGACGGGAACCTGGCCAAAGGGCTAGAGTCATGAAATGAAAAGAAGCTTTCTCAGTCAGTGCGGTCTAAAGCAAACGAAAGAAATCGCAGCTAGCTAAGAAAAGCTAGAAAGAGAATTTGATGTAGATCAAGTTTAAGTGATGAGAAGTTACGCTTAAAGAGAGGAATGACTCCTTCATGTGATCTCCAGCCTTGAGGTCAACGCATATGAACTCAAAATCAAGGCCATGCTCCAGCACAGAAGCCAGGACGCGCATTGTCGCAGGGCAAGCAGGGGTTCCGTACACTTTTTTAACAGCCATGAAAGGAGATTGGAAAAGCTGAATTGACGAAGAGGATCTCACAAGGCTAGAAATGACGCTTGCTACAATTTGAGTAGATAGTAAAGTTAAATGTGCTACAAACCTTGGGGGGACGCATATAGCAATATAAAAAGGCAAAAAAGACAAAACTAATATCAATAATTTCATTTTATATTGAAAACTCAAAGCAAAATTTCACTGTAGCACATAGTGTTGTAGCTATTTGCACAGACATAGACATAGTTTTGCCTACGTTGATGTCCACTTCAAACGCATTTGGTGTCCCATCAAATCAAATTGCCCATTGAATCACGCGACGTTAGTAATCGCACAGACTTTGAATCCAATCGCTTTTCTGCTATTATTCATCACGGTTTTTGTTTTACGTGACAAGAAAATATATGATGACCAAATAATTAGTAGTAGTACTATCTAAATAAAGCTACCAAACCAGTCTTTCTTTATGTTGCCATTGGAGCTACCAATGATAAAATTTTTACCATTGAATAAATAACAATCATATTTTGCATATATACAATAATTTTAATTAATCTTTTACAGATTGTTAATGTTTTCATTCAACTTTATCAATTTGTTGATTTTGATTTTCAAAATTATTTTTCATTGGCTCGTTTTTAAGAGAAAACCTTATAAACTTAACTTATAAAACTTTATCTAAGTTTTGTCCTTGCATTAATTCACATGTAGCCATGTAGATAAATTTTACTAACACCACAATTAATTTCCATTTTACAAAAACAAATTATATTGTAGGACACCGCTACTCTATCTTAACCTTACATAACCTTCATTAATTTGTATTTTCTGGAGGAGATCCATAAATTTATTTTTGTCCTTAGATTAATATGTATGTAGCATGTACATAAATTTTACTAGAAATGTCACTAGCTTTGATTTTGCGAAAAGAAGTTATATTGTAGGACACTGCTACTCTATCTTAACCTTATATAAGCTTAATAATTTGTATTTCCTGGGCAATCCATAAATTTATCTCAGTTTTGTCCTTAGATTAATATGCCTGTAGCATGTACATAAATATTACTAGAAATGTCACTAATTTTGATTTTGCAAAAGGAAATTACATTGTAGGACACTGCTACCCTATCTTAACCAGACAGAAACATAACCAGAACTGAAAGACCATGCTTAACATAGCTTTTACATAATTAGCTAGAGATATCGAAGTAAATTAGTCCTTATTGGAGGTGATGAATGAAGTAGGTGATAGTTGATTTCTTAAGAGCCTAAGCTTGAGCTCTTTGCTGCATCTCAACCACCTTAATCCATGCGGGTCGAGCAAGAATCGCAGTACACCATGCACTCAAACGAGGTCGGGAGTCGAAGAGCTTCTTGGTCTGAGTTCCCATGAGAGCCTGGATATTTGGTAGGTGAAGCATATCAGCAATGGTGTACTTGTCAGATGCCAGATACTTGAACTTGGAAAGCCTTGCTTCGTAGACATCAAGGACCTTAGCCAATTTGGCTTCAGCCTCAGCTACTGTCTCTTCATCAGGAGTCAGGCCCTTTTTTGGCTTGATGACTAACTCCGAGTTCAATTTTAGCGCTGGTGGCTCAAAGTGGTGGTCCTCGACATCGATCCAGTTAGCCACAACGGCTTGCTCTCTTGAATCCCAGTATATTAACTCCTCTCCTTTCTTGCCGTATTGATGAGCCATGGATCTTATTATTGCTCTTGATTCTACATAAATAAAACAAACAACAAAGAAATAAGGGCTTCTTCTTTGTTAAGGAAAAAAGGTAGAAAAGTACACCTTATTACCAAATTGCTTAGTATCCCCGTCCTCATACACTGGAACTTGTCCAAATGGCTGCAAGAAAACAAACAATTAAACAATTTTCAGGCATTCAGTAGTTCTTTTTCTTCTTTCCTGGTACTCTTATCTGCAAAGAACTTGAGAGAAACAATATATTTAAAAGAAGCACCCTCACCCTACTAGCTGGTAAAAAATTTAAAAGAAGATATATATATAGGCAAGTCAGCTTACATTCATAGAAAGAAATGGTTTCTTGTGCTCTCCGGCCTCAAGATCAATAGGAACAAAGTCAAAGTCAAGATCATGCTCGAACAGGCATGCCAAGACCTTCAAGGTAGCCGCTGAGTTCAAGCTACCATACACTTTTTTATTCTTCATTGCCACCAACACCGCCGTTTGGGTAATTTACAACCTCTCTACTTAGCTGGAGACTATATATGGACTCCAGAGGTTATTTATACGGATTCTGTTCATGATGATGCCCTTCTTTTGAGTGT